CTTGGGAGAACTGCCTTATCTCAGATGCCAGCCTCTGTGGGACTAAAGCCAGTGTCTGGGACAATCCAGCATCCATGCCCAGTGTGTTCAAATAGCCAGTGCTTTCCCCAAGAGCAGCTCAGCTGTGGGATTCAACCCGGTGTCTTTGCTAAAGTGCTGAGCCCCTTGCCCCAAAATCCAGAGACCGCTGAACAAATAAAAGTTATTGGGGCACCTGAGTAATATTAGCCAAATCTTCATCCCAGGGATGGGGGACTCTGCTCTGGGTTTCTGCTTAGATCCTTTTTCAAGGGCTGGTGACCTCTGCAAACCTGATGTCTTCTGGACTAACACTCCCACCAGTTCCAGTCAGCACTGATGACTCTCTACAGTTATCTCCTGCAGAAACTCAAGCCTCATTATGGTCCCTGCTGGTCACTTAGTTCTCCCTGGGTTCTTGATTCCATTCTTCAAGGAGCTCAGCACTCTTGGAGACCATAGCATTGTGCTTTTTGCCTCTTGGGTTCCTGGGGTGGGGGGAGCTCAGCCGTTGCTAAAGTGCCTTTTGAGAAATGGGCTTCTCTTTTTCAGACACTAGGAGATGATTAGGTTCTGATCTGCCTTTATTTTCTGTCTCTAGGACATTTTGGGGGAGGGGGTGACTATTGAAATCCAGTTCTTTGGGGAGGTCTTGTTGGCAAATAGGAAATCAGAATGGCTGAAAGGGAAATCAGGCTGTAATTTCTTGCAGATTTCAGCTTGCTTAGACCTGGTTCTTTGCCCCTGCCACTGTCTTCCTCCCACCCTACTCAAATTGTGTGCATATTGGTGAAGGGAGGGGATGGGCAGAAAAAGTCCCAAATATACTCTAGACCATCTTGTTTGCAAGGTATTTTTTATTGTAACAAATGCATCATAGTAAAAAAACCCAAACAACCTTTATAAAAAATATGAAAATGCAGGTAAAAAATAAATAAGTTTACAAATAACTTTAAGCAATCAACTAGTGTTTGTTACCAAAGAGTACAAAAAATTCTACAAATTTCATTTTAAATAAGAGAAACCCAAACGGAGTAACATAGAAAAAGGGATGCAGCCCAGAGCAGGGAATTGAGGGGGAGCAAAGCCTGGCACCCTACCCACCCATCCCTCCACTCTCATGCCTGGGACCAGCGCAGGCCGCAGAGAACAGCACGGGCAGAAAGCAGCATTTCCAGACATTCGCAATTAGGAAGGATGCACAGCTGGAAAGAGGGACTTGAGGAAGCTCTCCACCTTTTGCCACAGTGTTTATTGGGAGCAGCCTTTAAAGGCTGCCAGATGCTCATGCACTCTCAACGCTGATCAGCCCTGTCCATACAACAGTTTGATTTGGCAGCTCTTTGCAGGGAGGCAGCTGCCTTAGGCAGGTTACAGAGCAAGCAGTTACTGTTTCACATGGCTCCCCCCAACAGGGCAGCCTTTTGAAAGGCAGGCTCTAGTGTGGGCTGCAAGCTCTCCTAGCTTGCAAAGCAGCCATTCTTTCTTGCCAGGGAGTACCATACGCTCCCCCAGCCACCCAAAGAATTGCTTAGAACCATTCTTTTTCAAGCTGGTTGGGGCCCCTGGGAAACAGCTCGGCAATCAGCCCTTAGGGTGTGAGGTTATGCTGAATCCAGAGCAAGTGGGGTGGGAACCAGCCCTTTCTGGTGGCAGTAGTGGAAGGAGACATCTATCCTAGCTTCGTTTATGCAGTCAGTCCCCAGCATAGGAAAGTTCTTCACTAGTCTGTGCCTAGATAAAGGGAGCTTGCAGCCCAAGAGCCATTATTGCTTTCTTAGATGGCAGTGCAGACTCCATCTGCCTTCCAGAGGTGGCAGGACAGAATCGGCACTGGTGCCACTTTAGTCTTCCTCCCAGCCACATGGGCCCATGGAAGTAGCAAGCTGCCCTTTGCCCACTGCTTCCCTGTCTCATATTAGGGGCTTGTTTTCTTGTTCCTGTCAATTCACACGAAGCAACATGGCAGGAGAGGCAGGAATTTCGAGGTACAACCTCGGATAGCATTCAGGACCTTGTGTGGGATGGGCAGAAAGAAAGCGGCAGAGAGAGAACTTGGAATTGGGGCAGTGGAACCCCTAGCAGCAGCAGCAGCAGCAGCAGCAGCAGCAAGACAAAGTCAGACTCAGCTTACTGGCCTGAGGCAGAAAGGAGTACAGGAAGATGGGCACTGGTAAGGCTCCTGAACAGCACCAAGGCCAAAAGATAGATCAGGTGTCCTCTGTTCCTAGGAGGTGGCATGGTCATAGCACAGAATATTATTTTGGTACAGAAGTCTTGTGGAATCCTGAGAAGTTGCATGGTTTTGTAAAAATCAGGTGTCTAGCCTCATTGCTGATGAGCAAGTTTTGTATTTGGAAAAAACAAAAATCCAATACACTAAAAGACTGTGTGCCCACCTCCCTCATACCCCGCAAAAGCATATCTGGAGCAAAAGCATCCAAGTTACTTTTGCATCCCAGGGATTATTCAGCTCCCTTACATAGCAAGGAAAACAAAAGTTATTGGAGCCTGTCCAGTGTGCATATGTGTGGTGCACACACACACATACACATATACACATCACACCCTCTTTAGTTTAAAGGTGAAAGGTAATAATAAATATACATCTGCTCTAATCAGAAAGTTTCTTCACTCTGCTCCTTGTCCACCAATTGGATTCACAGTGCCTGTGGGGACCGGAAAGTTGTGTGGCCAATGTCAGCCAGTCTCCAGCATACAGGGCCTTCTAGTGCTTCTCTTGAGAACCAAGAAAGAGCCAACTTTGGAATACTGCTGCTCTAAGCAAATTCAGCAGCAACCTGTCTTAATTTTTTGCAAGCAAACAAATTTATGTAAATCAAGGTCCACACAAATATGTCTAAACATAAATGTGCCTGCCTTATTTGGCATCTGTTTTATAACTCTGTTGAATTTAGAACCCCCTTTTTTTCCAAGAAGCAGAGTGGAGGCCAAAGGAACAATACAAGTAAGCTACTAAAGAAGCATTCCTACTCAAAACACCTCTGAGATGTTTTGCAAATATTGCTTATACATTTTCAGAACTTTTTGTAAAAATATGAATTGTAGAAACTTGGTTTGTTTTCTTTTAGCCATAAAAAGGAGGGAATCTGAGATTTTTCAGACCTCCACATTCTGCATGAATGGAATTGCAGAAAATCTGTGCCTTTGCCTATACTGGAAGCATGTAGATGACAGTGGATTTACTACAGCAAGTGCCTAAGCACTTTGTTCCCATGCTGACCTGCTAGCTTAGGAACAGGCAAGGAACCATTGGTGAGCAGTTCCATCTCAGCAATGTGAGTTTGGCATAAAGCTGCCCAGGGCTTGTTGCCAGCTGAAGCTGGGAGCCCCCCTTCCCTTTCAACACAGGCACCTTCTTGCCAGAGACTGGAAGGAGTTTTAAGGGCTGGGCAGAGATGCAGGTTGTGAATCAAGAAACGGCTTTTAGACTGGGTGGCAGTGGCCTCCCAAAAGCAGCACCACTGTCCTCAGTTTCTCCCCCTTCTCTGAGTTGGAAGTGTAATGTGGCCATGTTGGCAGAGCACCAGGGGGAGAGGAAGTCTGTAGGAGAAGCACCAGAAAGTTAGGAGGCCCAGGCTAAGCAGAGGCCAAGAGAGAGAGGCTGGTCCAAAGGAAGATCTCCAGACAGGCGGCTCTGTTCACAGCATTAAAGTACTTTAACACCCCTACCCAAGCATAACAAAATATGGTCTAGAACAATGGTCTTCAACTGGTGGGTCATGGTGTGCTCTAAGATTGGTCGGGCACTACCACCATGCAAATATTGTGGAAGGTTAAGCAACAGATCTCTACATGCATGCTTTGGTTAAAAGTGGGTCCTGGGACTGAAAAGGTCCAAAAAGGTTGGAGATACCTGGTCTAGAGCAGCCTTCCCCAAGCAGATGTTGTTGGACTCCCAGCTCATACCAGCTCCAGCCAGCAATGTCAGGGATGACAGCAGTTAGAGTTCAATAACTGGTCAGGGAACTGGGAGTCCCTACAGCATCTGTAGGGCCACTTGCATGGTCCGTGGTCCTGGACTAAAGAGGGAGGTAGCAATAGGTGGTCCACCCCCAAAACTCCAGAAGGAACTGAAGCCATTTGACCAATCCAGTTTGCAGCCTGTTTTATCGAATTCACAGTAGCTGTGGCTCATGCTGTATTGGGCCAATCTGGGAGCTTTCAAGTATTTTGCATTTGTTTAGAAATGGGCAGCCTAGTCATTTGATGTATTCTTTGGGCAACAGCATGTTCCCGCTATGGCCCAAATGTGGTTTTTTTCTACTGCCAGCCTTTCCTTCTCAGTAAATCTCCCTCCAGTCCTGCAGCTGCAGTGATTACAAGCAGAAGCGAGCCCCTCTTGGAAGGAGCACATGTTCTGCCCTGTCACCCCACCTCCTGTGGGGCCTCTGCCTAGAAAGCAACCCCTTGACGTCAGTGGCTCAAGTCCCACTTGCTTCTCCCATGAACAGAGAATAACCCTTACAAACTCCTTAAAGCTCTTCCTAGGGAAGATCAAAAACCTATTGATGGTCTCTTCGCTGGGCACAGAAGGGCCCCTTCTTTAACAGATCTCCACAAGGAAGTTATTATTTCTCCCTGTAAAAACTGCACCCCCATCAGCTGCAATGACTCTTGTACCCTGAACCAGCTACAGAGATCGTCCCTGCCACATTGGTGCTATTCTGGGGAGAGGCAGTGTCATTTGCATAGAACGACAGGGACACCTGGTGGTGGAAACTTTTCCCAGGAGCTGTTGAGCTTTCTGCAGGGGCAGGATCCGTTCTGTGAGGCTCCGGCTTCCTTCCCCAGTGATGCACTCCTGAATCTGCCAATTTGCTTCCGGGATGGACATTTCAAAACTGGATCAGGTCCTGAGCAGGGTGGGGGGCCAGCCCTCCTGAAGCCCCACAACTATGTGGGGAAACGCTGCCAGTCCTTTGCCATTATTGCACCCCCCACCCCCACCCTCATCCTCATCACACCTCCGCAAACGCCAAGCTGTACTCCTCCTGGGGCTTGCTGCAGCGCCGGGCCACGATTGCCAGGTAAAGGGCGAGCAGCGCCACCCAGTAGCAGGCATAGAGGATGGCTCCCGAGATGAGGAAGACCAGTTCTGTGTCTGTGAAGAGGTCCTGGTGGTAGGCAGTGTAGGCCAGCCCCCCCAGCAGCACTGCCACCCAGACGGAGACTGGGATGAGGCCGATGAAGTTGACCACGATGGTCTTGCGGCCGGAGGTGCCCCAGCCGGACTTGGTGATGGTGGCGATGGCGAACATCTTGGCCGGCAGGAGGCTGGACATGTACAGCAGGGAGTAGAGGGACATGAAGATCATCTCGACGTTGCCGCGCAGGAAGCAGGCGTAGGTGGCCTTGATGACGCCCACCAGCTGCACCGTCAGAAGGAAGAGGAGGATGTTCCAGACGCGCCCGCGGTAAAAGAGCTGGATGACGGTGGCGATGAGGAAGAAGGGGAAGAAGCCCGTCACCACCGACTCATAGGTCATCCACAGGTGATGCTTGTGGAACCAGAGGGCATTGTAGAGCCACTCCCGGAAGTAGGACTTGCTCCAGCGCGTCTGCTGGTTGAGCCAGCGGAGGTACCTGGTGGGCGTCTCGGTCAGGCACTTGGAGCGGGCCGTGTACTTAGTCCGGTAGCCCAGGCTCAGGACCCGGTTGGTGAGGTGGCGGTCGTCCCCAAAGCTGCACTTGCTGCCCAGGAACGTCTGGTTGTACCAGTCCTCCAGGAACTGCTGCAGCAGGGCGTTGCGGTACATGCCCAAGGGGCCGCTGATGCACTGGACGCAGCCAAAGTAGGACTGGCAGGCCCGCTCCACATTGAAGGCCATCCAGTAGCGCACGCTGCTAAGGAAGGAGATCCACGAGTCGTACTTGTTCAGGATCTGGGGGGAAGAGGCAACACTGAGTCATGGGCCCTCCACAACCCTCCCTCCAATGGACAGGTTGGCTCCTGTACCAGTTTTCTTTACTCACAGATGTGTTTCAAGCTGACCTGTGGCTGACCCCAATTATTGAGGGACAGAAGGCCTCTTCTTCCAGCTGTTTTGGACTACAACTTCCATGCACCCCATCCAGCAAGCTGCAGGGCACTGAGCCTGATGGGAGTTGTAGTTCAAAACAGCTGGAAGAGGACCAACTCTGGGAAGGCTGCCCGAAGGAGCCATCCCCGTGAGCGTTATCTGAGCCAGACACTCTGCATGGCCGTGTGCTCTCAGGTCCACACCTGGACATCCCCGCCAACTCCACCGACACGAGGATCCTCCTCCATGATGCGCAGCATCTCCACTGTGCAGGCTGGATCGAGGACTGTGTCAGAGTCACACACCTGCCAGGGAAAGAAAGACACCCTGTCAGGACACCCTTGTCTGTCCCTTCCCTTAAGGAATGTGCACACAAATGGGGGCTTCTTTTTGACAAATATTACACTGTTTGTATGGGGAGAGAAAGCGTACGTATGGACGTTTCTTTCAAGTGGAATGCACGCCCACCTCCTTCAGAACAATTTTGCATGTTGCCCTGGGGGGCCCTGCTCCACACCTTCCCAGGGAGTAAAGCGCTCTTTTGTGCATATTGAGTGTGTGTATGTATACATATTTGTGTGTGTGTACACATATACACACACATACACACACTTGTACATACATACACATAGTATGTGTTTGTATAACTGATACAGTCATTGGAATATTGGTTCTATTATGGTTAATCTCAGAATTTTATGTGAGTTTGCACTTAATGTATATTATCATTAGCCTGCATCACCCTGAGAAAGCAATTAACAAGTTTAACTAATGATAATAATAAATATATTAGTGTAAGTGAATGATAGAGAAGTGACACAAACTCTCCTGGACACTTCTTCATGTGAACACAGACCGAAAGTGGCAGGGAGGAGGATGTCACACCAGGCACAGACGAGAGAGGGAGCCGGTCTCCATTGCCAAACAGGCATTGTAAGGTCCCCAAGCAGGTGAAGGCAGAAGAATCACAGGGCATCTGTATCCAAGAGCATGTATGGTGAAGGGCTTTAGCTTAGTGGCAGAGCACCTGCTTTGCATGCAGAAGGTTCAATCCCCAAGGGCATCTCCTGTCCCCTACCTGAAACCCTGGACATGTATGATAATAGTGAACTAGATGGACCAGGGGTCTTGACTGTATAAGGTAGCGTCCTATATTGAGGGGGCAGCTGATACCTGTTCAGCAGCCATGCAGGCCAGAGAAGGGGGATCAGGCCCAGCTGAAGAATCCTGCATTTTTGGAGGACAGGGAAGCAGAACACAGAAGCAAATCCCAAAATGAGAGATGGGCATACCCTGCATCTGCCTCCTCTCTTATGCAAGGAGTCCAGAGCTGGTCTATTCTGACAGCAGAATGAAATGGAAGAATGGACTGCAACACTTTTCACCTCCAGGTCCTATTTTGAATGCCCCCATAAGTTAAAACCCCCTGTAAATGGAAAAGCAGGACACCTAACAAAGGGCTGAGGTACCACCTCTCTCCTTTGTCTGCCAGTTTTCTGCTTGCAAGGAGGTCCCCCAGAAGGTGCTGAAGGCACATTAAGCCATCACATTGCTGAAGTGATGCAGGTCTGGGGCTGGTCAGCACTTGGATAAGAGATTGTTTGGGAACCATGCTTGGGTTCCATAATGAAAGAAAGGGGGGTGTATATATGGAATATATCAATATATATCTACCCTCAATTACATTCTGCCATCCCTTTCTGCTACACCTGCTGCTCGGAACTATAGTGCATGAGTGGAAGGGAGCAGAGGAGAAGCCTCCACTTACACCAGGGTGAAAGAAGAACTGTTTTCCTGCTGTCAGATTGAAGGCTGAGTTATGAGCTCAGGAAGAACACTGGAAACTGCCTGGATCCATCTAGCTCAGCACTGCCTGCACTGATCAGCAGCAGCTTTCCGTTGTTTTAGACAGGGGTCTCTCCCAGCCCTACCTGGATATACTGGGAATTGAACCTGGGGATTGAATCCACTGCTTTGCAACTCAATTGTGGCCTTTCCTTAAAAAAATAAATCAAGATTCCAGTCCTCAAGATTCTATACAAAGGGCTTAAGAAACTGGGGAAGCTGCCTTATACCAAATTAGACCCATTTGTCCACCCAGCTCAGTATTGTCTATAGTAGCTTTCCATCCTTCACAAGCTGGAAATGTCACTGGGGAGTGAACCCAGGACCTTCAGCATGCAAAACAGGTGCTCTACCACCCAGGATCATAGAAAACTATTTTAAACTGAGTCAAACCATTGGTCCATCTTGCTCAGTATTGTCTCTACATTGACTGGCAGCGGCTCTCCAGGATTTCAGGCAGGGGTCTCTCTCCCACCCTCCCTGGAGATGCCAGGGATTGAACTTGGTACCTTGTGCATTCAAGGCGGATACTCTACCACTGAGCTAAGGAGAAGCAACCAGCTGCTCCATAGAGGGGCTGACTGCATGGGCATGTTCAGGCCCCAGAATGTGAAGAAGCAGCTCATTGTAGCCCTGCTTCCCTCTTAAGCTCACAGCACCTATGTACTGTATCAGGGTGCAGGGAGACAGAGAATTGCCCAGACCCAAGTCTCTCTCCAAATCATTTTGCGTGTAGCTAATACTCCCCCCTCCCTTTTTCTGCTTTCTGACAAGTGCCTGGCTTGTGGGATGAGCATGAAAGGGAAAACACAGAGGAGGAAGAGCAACAAGAGGCTAGCAAGGGCAAGGAGCAGGGCTCCGCCCCCCGACACCCACCTGCACGTAGTCGACAGAGTCTCCAAGGGCACAGAAGGCCGTGTACATCACCTCGCGCTTCCCGCCCCACTTCTGCATGATGCAGGTATAGGTATTGTGCCGGACGAGGCTCTGGATGTGGCGCATGGCCCTGTGGCGGCCAGCCTCCGACTCGCCCTTCCCCCGGGCGTGGAAGTTGCTCTTCCACACGTAGCAGCCTGTCCGGTCGGAGCCCATCACCTCGTTGAAGATGTCCAGCATGTAAACATCGTCCTCCCCGTTGCCGTCCACCACCATGACGACCTTGAGGTTGGGGAAGGAGATGCGCTGGATGGAGCGCAGGCATTTGCGCAGGTAGTCGGGGTCCTCCTGGTAGGCGGCGATGCAGAGGGCCACCGAGGAGCGCAGCTTCAGGGGCCGGCCCTCCAGACGCATCTGCCGGTGCTCCAGGAAGGCAAAGAGGCTCTGGATGAAGAGGTGGAGGCCCAGGATGGCACCATAGAGCCCAAAGGAGAGGTAGTGCTTCTCGGTGTGGATGAACTGGTAGCCCGTGACGTAGGCAGCGAGGATGCCCCCCAGCACCACCACAGCAAAGAGGCTGGTCCCAAAAACACGCAGGGCTGTGGAGAGCCTCACTGGCATCTGGAGAGGAGGCAGAGAGGCCCGGTTAGACTGTGGCCACAGCAACAGACCCAAGAGCCCTCCCTGACTCCTTGGTGGCGGCAGCGGTGTCCCTTCAGAGGGTGTTGGACTCCAAATCCCATCAGCCCCAGCCAGCATGAGCAGTGGTGACCGGAGTTGAAGCCTAACAACTTCTGGAGGGGTGCCCCTGATTTTCAGATCCTATTGCATTACAGCTCAGAGGAAGAACAGAGAAAGGCAAGATGTCCTGTACAGAGTGGGGCTGTTATTGACCCATCTAGTTCAGCACTGTCAACCCTGACTGGCAGTGGCTCTCCAGGGTTTGAGGCTAGGGGCACTCCCAGGTCCACATGGAGATGCTGCCAGGAGGTGAATGGCGTGACCTTCTGCATGCAAAGCAGATGCTCTACCACAATGCTGCAGCATTTCTGCATTAGCACTATGGCCGACAGTCGGAGGTCACCTGACGGGTTGTGTTTTTACCCAGCCTTTAATCTGGCAGGATCCCAGGGCGGTTTACAATTAGTGCACTAAAAACAGCAATAAAAATAACTGTGGAACAATACTTCAAACAAAGGATGCAAATAGGCAATCAAACAAAACTATAGCACTGTAGGAAACAGACAGTTCTGCTTTCAGCTGCTGCAGTTGATGGCAGTGGCAGGAGAGCCACATCTGCCTGGCAAGTAAGTACTACACGCGCCCCCCTCTGATACTCTGGATGCAGCAGGGAGCCTGGGAAGTCTGTGGCCCGCTAGGTCTTCTTTGACTCCAACTCTCATCATCCCTAAGGCCGGGCCACGCTGGGTCCGCGGGCTGTTGGGAGTTGTAGTCCAGCAACATTTGGAGGGCGCCAGGAGCGCGGGGCTGCAGGAGAGCGCCGCTGTCGCTGCGCCTTCTTGCCAAGGAGCCTCACCAGCGATCGACTCCGAGAACCTCGTGTCCGCAACTGCAAAGCGCGCCTGATCCTGCCCGGCTAGGCAGCGGCCCTGTAGTTCCACAGCCTGACCTGCTGTGCGCGCATGAGAGCAAGGAGGGCAAATGCACCCGGGGCGCCTCTGGTCTCCCGGTGAACTCGCAGCCCCATAAGTTTGGGCTGGGGGCGTACAGGGCGCAACCCCATAGCACCCTCTTTTCCCCATGCCGCCAAGCCTGGACTCCGCGGAAGCCCCTTATTCTTCCTCACCATGCATGCCCGGTCTTGGGGAAAGAGAGCGAAACGGTTCATTTGCATCGCCCAGCCTCCGTATGAGCGGAACCAGACTGGCAGGAGGGGCAGACCCGGCACAGAGATGGGCTCTTCGCAACGGGCGGGCGGGATTTGGGGGGCGCCTCTACGGACAAAGGCAGAGAAGGCGGTGATGGTGGCCCCGAACCAAGCCTCGCAGGACGCAAGCCCGACGGGGCGGCGGAAAGCCCTGTAGGAGAGGCTGAGGCTCCCCGGAGCCCAGCTCAGCCCGAAGCGGGAAAGCAGATGAGAAAGCCTTGTCCCTGTCTAGGGCCAGCTTGAAAGGCTGAGACCTTGGTCTAGAGAAGTGTCCTCCTCCCCTCCCCAGGTTTAGCTTTGGAGCGAAGGCGAGCCCACCGCGGAGCATGTGCAGAGCGCTTTCCCCCTCCACCAGCCCGAACCAGCACATGCGGCTCCTGCGCCTCGAGGAATCGGGTGTGGCACGTGTCTTTGCCAAGGGCTGGACGGCCATCGCCCTCCCGCACCCCGGCCAGGGACCTCGGACTCACCGTGCCGCGGCTTCCCCCCGGCCGCTCCCGCCTGCTCAGCTTGGCGCGGCGCTTTTGATGAGGAGGGAGGCGCCCAGCCCAACCCCATCCTCGACGGGGCGGGGGAGGAGCGCGCAAGGGGCAGAACCAGGCCTGCCCCCCTCCCGAGGTGCCACCCACGCGCCGCCGCCCCGCTCGAGCCCCGACGGAGCCCTCGCCTGCCCCACTCAAAGGCTGCACAAGCGGAGTCAGATCGGGACTGAAAGTTCGCAAAAGGAAAGGCAGAGGGGGGCTGGGGGCTGGGTAGCCTTCCATGCGAAGCCCCCAACTCTGGTCATGTCACGTCCAATGTCATGGGTCGGTTGGGAGCCGGCTGGCGGAAGGGGGGGGACCGGCTCAAGACGGGGTGTGTGAATGTGAGTGAGTGAATTGAAACACTCGTGAATACATCCCCCAAAAGTCACCTCCATCCGCGCAGGCTGTAAGTTGCTACCCATACATCTGGAGAGATACCTCCTTGAAGTGCACACTAACGCAGAAGTTACTCCCCACCCCTAGCTCGCATGGTGCTTGTGCCCAGCATGTGGAGGTTCATTGGAGCCTAAAGACCAAAGCGGGGTGGGATCCTGCCCCTTTCCTAGTAGGACACTACCAAGCCACCCTCTTTCTCAGCCTTCAACAGCCCTGTGCCCTCCAGGAGCTTTGAACTACAACTCCCATCAGTCCCAGCCAGTACCTGGCTGAGTCTGATGGGAGTTACAGTCCAAGACATCTGGAGGGCAGCAGCCTGGCGAAGGCAACAGTGAGGAGGATTGAAAGGTTCCTCCACATGCAGACTGACGGAGGCTCAGGTTCTTGCACACACACTTATTTTCCATGCAGGGACCTGAATAAAAGATGAGATTTCCACTGAGGCAACTCAGCTGCCCTTGCTGGTGGCCCCTGGCATCCGAGAAGCAGCACAGCAAGTCTGAGGACCAGGGAGAGGGGGGAACGCCTCAAAACCAGAATCGTGGGGTACACTAAAGATTTATTCAGGCAATAACCTTCCTGGCCTGAAATCCACTGCATCTTGTGTTGTTGTTTAGTCGCTTAGTTGTGCCTGACTCTTCGTGACCCCATGGACCAGAGCACGCCAGGCATCGGATTAGGTCCCAATAATTAGGAGCATCCTTTGTACATTGGATGAAACAGTCCACAAGAGCTCCTGCCATCCTAAATTTGTTAGCCTTTAAGGTGCCATAAAAGTCTCTTGTCAGTTTTGTTGCTAAAGACTTTCAGAGAGTCCTCTCCAGAAGGAGCTGCAACAAACAACTCCCATCACAGCGTACCCAGTCTTTTTTCTGCCAGTCAGTATTAGGGACTGCAACATTTCATTGATTAATCAATTAAAAAAGCTTTTAATTCACTATGAAGCTGCCCTCAATAAATCAGGAAGCAGATTTATTTCAATATATATCATTTCCAATGCAAAGATTTGTAACAAGTGCAAGTGGCTAAGCACAATATTACAAGGTACATTCTCCCTTCTTCCTAACAGATGAAATGAATTTTCCTACAGAAGATCTGCTGTGAAACACGTACATCCATTGTCTAAAAACAAAGTAAGCCATTTGCTTAAAAATTATTTTTACTTACGCAAACTTAACCAACCAAATCCAAACAAGAAATCAACAAACAGTCCTACTCATTATACAAATGAGAATCACTTTTTTATCTGCTCTTTTTTCAGTGTCTCTGGCTGAGCAGAGTCAGAACATCTAAAAATATTAAGAAGAAGACTTAAGAACCCCCTTTATCACAAATATATTTTTCTACAGCCTCTTGACAAAGGATAGAGTTAGCAAAGATGTCATGAAAAACACCAACTTAGCTTAGGCTGTGTACACACTTCCATTTACTGTGCATCCAATGCACCTCCACCCTGCTGATGTGGGAAGTGGTATATACACCAAGTTAGCCACAATCCATATCTATCCTGTTGTTTCTTAGGAAATACTGCATTCTGATGCATTCCCCCCCAAACCACCTTCGATCCACATTGAGAAAAATAACAGCCTGGCTGCATTTCAAGTTGGTGATGTATACACAGCCTTAGATGGTTTAAAAGTGGGGAGATTAAGGGTACTGTGAGTAGCTAAAGGGAAGGATAAAGAGGGTGATGCTGTCAGTGGCTGCTAGCCAGGATGCCGGTATGCTACCTGCAGTATCAGAGGCAGTAGTTGAGGAACATGTGCTAAGAGGTCCCCATTTCCTACTTGTGAGCTTCCCATTGAAGCATCTGGTTGGCCACTGTGGAAAATGAGATGCTCAGATAGATGGGTGTTCTTAAGCATTTTTAGTTTTGGGTGATATCTATGATCGTTTTGTTCTTGTGTGAGAGAGTTGCAGTGAAGCCACTTATATGTGTGTGTGTGTGTGTGCGTGTGTGTGTGTGTGCGCGCGCGCGCGCGCGCACTGGGTTTGGCCTGCCAAACTTGATTGTGCGCACAATCCTGAATGAGGATAATAACTTTATCAAGAGTCTTTGTAGGCAAGAGCACAGATGAGAATTAAGGAATTACACACAAATCTATTTCTTAAGAGAATCTTGTCGTCACTTGCCTGTCACCTCAACACACACACACACACACACACACACACACACGAATCTCACACCTCCTTGCCTTCAGATGCATGTGAAATATAATACCCTTCCTTTTTGTTCAGTTAAACTTAGCAAAAAGGGTTGGGTGTTTGCAGAGATTTCCAAGGAAATTACAATAATTAGAACATCAGTAACACCACAGTGGAAGGATTTTGTAGAAAAGAGAATTCCAAAATCCAATCAAGCAATGAAGTCCTTTATTAGAATTCTGATTTTTCCTAACGGCAAATAACCCTTTTACCCCAGGAAAGGCTAATCTGTTCCCCCGCTCCCAATATTGTTAGATTCCAATTCCCAGAAAACATGGCTAATAATCAGGGATGATGGGAGTCCAGTAACATCTGGAAGTCACAGAATAGCCACTTTGCCTAGTTTAGCTGCTGCAATAACTAACACAGAATGGGTTCCCCAAGGTTGTCCAAGTTAAAGAATTGGCTTAAGTGCACCCTTCATTAGCAATACCGTTGAGTGATCTTGAGTTATTGTTCATGATACCCAAACATTCACTTCATAGCCAATTGTTACTGTTCAGATTATTCCTCTGCTGCTAATTTTAGCAACTTAATTTAGCCTTGTAAACAGCCACTATGCTGGCCACTGGTGGCAAGTGAATTACCTCCAGGCAAGGAATCTTTTGCAAACTGGATTTTCTCTCCCTCTTTCAGGTCAGGCTATCACATGTATATTTGGGAAGTCGATCTGCTGAACATACTTATGGACCAGCACAGCCTTTGCTAGCCTGGAGTCCTTCTGATGCTTTGAACTACAACTTCCCATTGACCTCAGCCAGCACACCTGAATGATGCTGAGGTTGATGGGAGTTGTAGTCCAAAACATATAAAGGGCCCAGGTTGGCAAGGGCTGCTTTAACAGATAATGTAAGCGAAATGAGTACAACTGGCTACAAAATCACCTGCATTTAGAAACTGACTGGCAACTGTGGTAGACAGTGGAGGTAAAATAATCAGGTCTGCATCATGGGATCCAACCCACCTCAGGTGGGCACAGTGCTCAAATTAGAGGGGGTCTGTAGTGGCCATCACTCCCTTACCTTGAGTGATGTCTCACCCAGCTAGTCTCTTTAGAAGGCTCTTCAGGGAGGCAAGGGTGCAGGGAAGATTTGGTAAAAATTATGGGGAAGCAGAAGAGCGAGATTATGGATTTAATTCAGCTCTCTTCTCATCTTTCCCCAAATAACTGAAATACTGTGTGGGTAGCATTCACTTTGATCCCTGACAGGTGCACCTGAGTCCTGCATCCATTATTTTCTGACAACAAACAAAAAGGTTTATTTGGGTCCTGAACTGAAGAGGGAAGGAAAGTCATAGAGATGCCCTATTTTGCCAGGGCCTCTTCAAAAACATGTAAAAACTGAGAGAGATGAAAGTGTGTGTGTTTGTTCCTAGAAGAAATTTGCCCAGAGAATTCTGTAGTCAGCAAATGGCCGGTGGCCCAGGTACCTTTGTGAATTCCTTGAACTCAAAAATCCAGTTGTCAAGATAAACTGGCATGCAAGACTTTAGGACAGAGCTTTTCATGTTGTTCACTTTTTAGACATGCTTTATTTCGTGACACAGTAATTCACTTTTAATAGCAAACTGGAGGTTAAACTAACCCCTTTCCCAGCCCCAGGAGGAGCGCGGGGAGTGTTTGCACGACACACCTACACACTGCAGCTGACACACTAACATGTTGCAACACACAGTTTGGAAAGCTCTGCTTTAGGATTTCTTCATATACTATACCACAAGCCTATCAACTGCAGAACTTAAGAGTTGACCTGCCTGCTTAGTACTCTCACAGCTTCCCCGCATCCACACACACATACACGTGCCAGAGATTAGCTCAACATTAATGACCCTGTTATTCTTACAAAAGCTTACAAAAACTACTGTAAAACAACTAACAAGCCTTATTTGGTGCATATTCAAGGAATTACCATGACTTAATCCCTTCCTAAAACCATGGAGCTGGAAAAATAACAAAAGACCACCTAACTGCATCGGATAACCCCCCTCCATTCATCTTCATATTCACATATATGCACACACTGCAGAATCTGGACTGTGCAACTCTGATCACTAGAGGGACATACACAAGGCAGGGAGATGCTGGCAAATTTCAGGTGGCTCAAATCAAGGCACTTCATGGGAAAGTACAGACCTGATCCCCCAATTCCAAAGTCACTAGGCAACCTGAGCTTGGGATCACAGGTTCCTAGCCCTGAATACAGAGATCCCTGAAGCCATAGGCAGGAGCAAAATCCTAGCCACCATGTCATTAAAAAAAGCATGAATGGGTCACAACTCCACACCACCCAACGTGCTGTACCTGCCTTGACTGTCCCTAATGCTTCAGAAAGGTAGGTCTATGAGGGGACCTCTGAATCTTACACAAGGGAAAAGATTCCACCGCAACTAACCCCAGTTCACTGGTTCACTCTATGATAGGCCCAGCTGAAGCACCAGAACAGAAAATTTAGGATACCTTGAGCAATTTTCTCCACCTCTGCTTTGACCTCCATCTGGCTTTTGGTCTCTCAACAGGCCCAGAAAGGTTTTTCAACTCTGGTGGTTTATGGTCTCCTAACCCCTTCCTAAAATCACCCTCCCCCCCCCCAAGTCCAGGCACACACAAAAAAAGAAAGTAAAATAGGTTTTAAAAAACTCACAGTTAGGAAATGGCTGGCCTGGCTTCTAAAGCTCTTGGTGTAAAATGCCAGAGAGGTGGAAGCTACCTGGTCTGGTCCTGCCCCAGAAAGCCTGTGTCTGGGAGGGGAACATGAGGCAAGGGGTGGGCACTGCCAGGGGCTGAGGAACATCAGATGGGAGGGGGCAAACTGCAGGGCTTTCAGGAGAGAGGCCAGAGCTGAGCCTTGCCTCACTCTCAGTGATCTCTTTAGACCCCACAGCTGTGCCCACAAGCAAAAGCAAACACAGGGCAAGTCCCATGACTTCCCCCCAAAGAATCCTGGGAGTGATTTTTAAGTTTTGCAAGGGTGCTTCTCAAGAGGCCTCCAAATCTCTTTGCAGCACAAAACCCTCTTGGACCTTCAGCTTCCTTGGGCGAGGCTGGTTGGAAAAGTAGGCCTGTCCTTCATTTCCTTTCCCTTGCCAAGCCTCACAAGCATCCCTTTCAATACCTTCCACCATCCAAAGCAAGTGTTATTTTTTAAATAGGGGGCCTTTGAGAGGCTGACAGTTTGAGGAGCTACTTTCCCCCCAGGCCTTCCTAATCCCCCGTCTCCCCATTGCTCATCTAGGCCTTTCCTTGGCCCTCCACACAGTCTCAGTGAACTTGTCTAAACAGCGAGCCATTTAGGTTCAAAAGCAACAAAAGTTTGAAAAGGCCTTCTGATCCCAAAAGTTACAAATAATGCCCATAAGCCTTCTTTAGGCCTTCTGGTTTACTGTGGAGCCACAACACGCAACTTGGTTGCTCAGAAGCACCCAGTTGATGCTATCCCCCCCGAACAGACACAACTGTTCCAGAGGCACCCTGCAACCCACTAGCCAGTCAGCTAGTGAAATGATTTATGTGTTGTTAAAAACAGCGCAGGAGGCTTACAATTGTTATGCTGCTTTCCCTTACAGCCACCCCATAAGATCACTGTGATGCCCATTTTACAGATGAACAAGCAAGTCCCACCAGATGACAGTTTGTTCAAGGCCACGCAATGAGCCCATCGAAGAGCCAGGCATCCAGATCCATTTCTTCCCTGCCTGCTCGCACCGCCTCCCACTTGTCATTCAGAGACAGTCTCGAAAAGACGCTGTAAGGGGATCCTCCATTTACAGGACCACACTTTATGCAAAAGGATTAATACAAGCTCACTTGCACCTTTTCAGGAACTGAAGGCAGTGCCTGGGGCTGAGTTTCAGTGTGTGCCACCCTGGATCCAGCAGAGGCACTCAGAGAGCACCCAAAGGGTCAAGTGCACAATGGCCAGGAGCGATACTGCGAAAGGGGTCCCTTTGGGGGACACCCTCAGCAGAAACGACACTTATAAGAGGGTCCCTTTCGGCATGCCGCAGCCACAAGACACACCCCCTTGGCCCCCTCCCACAAGTTGCCGGGGTCCAGTATCTAAAGGACAATGAGGGAGCAGAGAAAGGACTGCTGTGAGCTTAAGGTTTCCTCTCCTCTTTGCTAGACCAGCTGCAGCAGGAGTTGCCCCATGGCAAACCACAGGTGCCTGGCTGAGGCTGGAGCAGGGACAAGAGTGCCCGTTGCGGACCACAGGCAAGCTGCACACCCTCCGCCCAGGACCGTATCAGCAGGTGCTGCCTTTCAAACCCACTCCATTGTGGAACCGCCAGCATTGCAACATCTTACCTTTCGATGCAAAGGCAGCTCCCAGGCACGGCTTCTCGCTCAGGGTTCTGTGCCTCTTCGGGAGAAGGGGGGGGGGAAAACCCTGCTTTTCCAAGGTAGAGAAGCAGCTTCCCACCCCCTCCTGCACAGGAATCGCCTTGTTTGCAGAGGCGGAATTGCAGCCAAGAAGAAAAGAGACTTTTCATTCAATAACCTTTGGCTGGAGCAAGCGTGGAGGGGCGGAGGAGCCAGAGCCCAGGCAAAATCATCCCAGGGCAGGAAGGTACCAAAAAAGAAAGGGGAAAAAACCCAAACAGTCAACCTTCTACCTAGGCAAGGCTGAACCCTTTAAGGGACTCCAGCCCCCTGCCCTGGGACAGAGAAGGACACAGAAACCGCCTACCCCAGGGAATGGAACCTGCAGCAACCCGGCACTCCCCCTGCAAGGACAATGACAGTTTCTGAGCTGCTGCTCCCCCCCCAACCCCCCTTTCCTCCAACGCACAGACTGTATAGCTATTCCTGGAGTCTATAAAAACCATCTCTCTAAACACCCCCTGGCTGTAGAAATAGCTTCACCAGGGTTGCTATTCTCAGGGACGGCTTTCCTCGCATGATCCAGGAACTTGGGAAGAACAATTGTCTTCAGTTCGCTTTCCCCCACCCCCTTTCTCTTTCTCTCCTTTTTTTTTTTTTTTTGGTTAGCCATCAGCTGCTGGTCCTTCTCCCTGGAACTCATTATTCTGCAGTGTGCTGGTTCCTCGCAGGCTGCGGAAGAGTCACATAACAACTGCCAGCAGAAGTGCTGGTGGCACAACCTGAGCTCCCAGCATATCCATGAAACCCCATAGAAAGCAATCTCTTTACCTGAAGCTATGGTAGGATCTTGGCAGCAAAGCAGACAGATTTCACCCCTCTGTGCTTGCTCCCCCAACCCAGCACTGGTGTCTGTGGGTCTTTAGAGCACCCCTTCCTTCCTGATGGACACCTGCTGGATGTTAGCACACACTCCATTCATAGACTGCTTGAGGGGTCACCTGGGGACAAGCACTCTCCAGTGGGACTTGCAGAGGAGGAAAAGGAAGGGGCTGAGAGCAGGGGCTCAGGGATTGGGCTGCTCCTTACAGGGAAATTGATGCTGGTTCTTCAGAAGCCAGGAGTGGGGAGACGAAGGCAGGGCAGCACTATAGTGGGTATTGGTACCATTATGCCCCAAAGAAGCAACCCTTCACCTGGTTTCTTCTCTATAAACCTGGAGCAGGAAAACTGTGCACCTCCTTGCCACAAATATTGCTGGACTGCAATGTCCAACAGCCCAAGCCAGCGTGGTCAATGGCAAGCGATGTTGAGGGGCCAGGGATGGTGTGGACTGATGCTCCTCACTCAGTCCTGTCCTAAACTCTGTTCAGGGCCAAGGAAAACACAACAGAACCACTGCAGGATCAGCTTCAGTCAGTGAATCCATCACAGAATCATAGAATTGTCGAGTTGGAAATGATCCCAAAGGTCATCTATGCAGTAATAGTTTGGGGGAGTGGATTATGAACATTCTGATACTGGCCTCAAAGTGTTATTTTATCCCTCTTTCACAGGCCATACTCTCTCCATTTCAAGTGGCCCATGCCAGGTATTCCCCATGCCCTTTAGCTTGGCCTTTTAATCTTCATTCCTAACAAGAGTGGAATTTAAGTACACTCAACTTTATTTGCCTGTGTTATTTCCTTCCTTCCTCTTTTCTCCATTGCATGCCCCAGACTGCAAGCTTTTTGCCTATGTGTCTGTGTGAGGTGAAGATGGGAAGTATTTGGCATTCCAGATGTTGTTGGGACTATAACATCCATCATTGCTGGCTATGCTGGCTGGGGACAATGTGACTTCAGGAACATCGGGGGGGGGGGCACAGGTTAGCAATCCCTGGTGAAAGGCTCCATGCCCACAGATTATACACTATTCATGCAGCTGCTACTACTCCATATGAGTGTCAGGATTAGTCAAGAGTGAAGAAGCATTTCAATGCATCAGCAAAGTTTCCAACACACAACAGGGTGTTTCAATGAAATCAATTTGCATGGTGCGAGCGTTTCCAGGTTGTCAAGAATGCAATTGCAGAAAAACATTGTTGCATAAGATGACTAGAAGAAGTATTTCCCTTTAATGCTCTGTGGCACCTTTTTTACTCTAGTTCTCAAGAAAAGGGTTGGAGTGGTGAAAGGCCTGGCCCAGCAGCTGCCATTCCATACCTTCCTTTTATTGTATTGTGTACAGAAAAGGTGGACATATTGTATTTTGCCTTGACTGACTCTTTTTGTTGTTAAAGCTAAGCTATGAGGCTGCACTAGGTGAAGATTTTGGGGAGGACTAATCAGACAGCCAACATAGCAGTGGCCTCGAGTGTCCCTTTCTAGCCACCACAGAAGGGATGGCTGAGGACTGTTCAAGTTCCACCATGCCATTCTGAGGTGTGAACTTGTTCCCCTCCCCCTGTGATTTCTTTAAAATACAATTTTTACAGAATTTCCAAAGTACAATTAGGTCTAAACTTGTTGAGCTGACTTCCTATAACTTACGTCATGCAGGATTAAAAAAAAAAAAAAAGAAATCTAGACAAACTTTCCTCTGCTTCATTTACAGTCCAAAACGAAAAGCAAAAGGCAGAATGGAATGCCCCAGTCAAGGGCCTGTGAAGGACGGGACCACACTTCAGCTTCATTTCATGCAAACAAGAAACATCCCATAAGAAGCAAGGAAGAGGCAGGAGTTCACGTAGGGCCAGCTGGTGACTTCACAGCCAAGGACTCTGGGATTCATGATAGCCACTCCTCTTATACCTGCTCTAAATTTGACTCCCTCTCCACTGGACACCATCTGCTACCAGCCAGGTGGGGTATCTGAACCCTGGTCTATGAAGGCATGCACACTTTCCACACAAGAAAGTTTTCCCCTATGAAATTTATTGCATTGACTGATCCCAGCAGCAGCCCCAAGATAGTCCTTCCCTCCTAAGGGACACCCTTGAATAAGTGTCAAATTTCTGCAAAATCTGCCCATGGGAGCAATGTTCTAGGCAGGCAATGGTCCAGTCTGCTCTCAGGAGCCACAGCTCAAGGACCAGCCACTCCCTCATTGCAGACTAGCACTTCTGAGGCCACAGGGGTTCAAGAGCCCAGCTGCTCGGCTCCCAAACCCCACTTCCCTGAGAGACCCTGGTACAGTTCTGAAGTTGTGCCACACAGTAGCAGGAGTCCTCTGATCCACTGGCACTTCTGCTTCCCTAAGGAAGGACCTCAATCTTTTTCTCAAGAGTTTGACGGGGAAACAGGAGCTCCCTCATGATGCCATCCAGCTCCTCCAAGGCCAGCTGTGCGTGAAGTACAGTGACCTCATCTTGTTCGCAGCGCACCACAAACTTCAGCAGGTGGTAGAGTTCCAGCAGGGCATCCTGGAGAACCTGGGGGGTGGGGCAGGGGAAGAGGAAAGAGAAAGTTGAATCAGGGTTGAGTGTGTGGGAGTGAACTATTTGGATTCCTAGTGCCTATAACGCATAGGCAGAGTATGGGAGAGTGTTCTTTCTGAGCGCCAAACTAAGGCCAGACTGGCCTCTGTTTTGTCTTGCAATGCTTTCTCAATAGTTTCCCACCTTTTTATGAAGGATCTGAGAGCCAGAAGATTGTCAGGATGAGGTTCAGGGGGAGGGGGAGAATACCTTTCCAAATTTCTCCAATCACAGTCTGCATGTGGGACAGCCAGGTAATCCCACCCAGACAAGCTTCTCATTCATGCGCAACACATTTTCTGCCTCCTCCACCTCCCACTGCACCAAGGGAGTTCTGGCCACTGAGCTCCTGCAGCAGGTGAGCTTTGCAAAGCAACAGAGGCCTGTCTTGCATCTTGCAACAAACAGGCAGCAGCAGATTCTGAAAACAGAAACTTTTATAGACAGGGCTTGCTGGAGGCTGCCTGATGAATGCTCACTTCAGAAATAAGGCAAAGCCCTGTGGCTTCTTGTGCCCACATATCCACCACAGCAGATCAAAGCCTGGCTATGGGAACATAGGAAGCAACCTTATATGGAGTCAGATCATTGGTCCATCTAGCTCAGTATTGTCAACGCTGACTGGTAGCAGCTCTCCCAAGTTTCAAACTGGGTTTCCTTCCAGCCCTATGCAGAAATGCCCAGGATTGAACCTGGGACCTTCTGCATGCAAAGCTGATGATCTACCACTGAGCTCAGGCACTTCCCCAATATAGGATAGGTAGCTTTTGCCCCTGTTGAAGGTGTGACACCACTTCCTTTTCTGCAACACCATAGGAAAACACCTCCAGCAGGAAAGCATTGCATCAGTCTGGGAGATCCCCTCTTATTCCTAGGAACAACTGAGGTCATGATAGTGAGCTGTTAGAATGCTTATTCTACACCAGGAAAAGAAACACCCATTGGAGAGGCAGAGTTACAGTATGCGCAATGTCCAAAAGAACCTTTCATGCCCCAGAAGCCATTCAGCTGTCCAACCAACTGAGGTTAAAGGGCTCCCTTTGCAGCTGCCTGTCAGAAAATACTTTTGTCTAGATCTGTGCTAGAAAATTCCGTAAGCGAAGGTAGAAAGGAGCAGGAGGAAGAAGACACAGTCCCTGGCCTTCCTGGATGGGGCACTCCCCAGTGTCCTGCCAAAAGAGATCCGCTGGTGGCAGCTTGCCCAGGGCTCCTGGCCTGCACCTGGCCATCCATGCCAAGGCAGCTCCACCTGATGCTGCTGCACTTTGAAACTCAGGTGGGCAGCCTGTAGAAGCCGCAAGTCCCAGCAGGACACATTCACTATACACAGCCTCAATACAAGGAATACATCCCAAAACCCTCAGCAGTTTGGCAACTTGCTTATCTCCTTTGGGAAGTTTGCAGATTGTTTTGATTGTTTTTGAATTTTATTATTAACCATGCAGAGGCTCTAATGGAGTAACATTCATCTCCTATTCTTAAAAGAAAGTGGCCTGTGACACCATTATTGGGTTGGGGGCAGAGAGAAACTTGGAAATAAAAAATGAACAATTTATGTTATGGAATAATGGGGAAAGGGATTAAAATCCTAAAACCCTTCCCCAAAATACTCCTGCTCAATGAAGACCTGAAGATTTTCATTTCTCTGCTGCTACTCTGCAAATGTTTTATACCTGTTTGACAATGTCAGGGAAACTGCATGTATATTGTATCCTTGAGCTCCAGTGATATAAATTGGGTTTGGTACTGGCAGTCTAGTAAATACTAAAAATAAAAATAAAAAATCCAAATATTTCCAAATGTCTTTTCCCTTTAAAAACTGCAAGGGGGATAATGCTTCCTATGCTTTCAAAACTTTAGGAAGTGTTTCCACCTCCCATTGTGTCGTTCATTCAAGGTCACTTCCACCCTCTGTAATAATCAAGCACAAGAGTGCAACAGCAGCAACAAGCTGAGAATATGGCTGGAGAGAAATCCTAGTAGGAACAGAATTTCCTGGGCCTGGATGGTGCTTCTACTGCCCTTTGCCTCAACTTGGGAGGCAATTCACCTTGGAAGGGCACCAGGGCAGTTCTAGAGGGCCACACCTTTCATTGACTGCCTGCAGCAACAATCAGATGAACATGATTCTTGTAATCTTTTTTCCAGTGAGTCAATGGTA